GAGGGCCTAGGCACCGCGCGAGGCCTAGCGCGGCCTGCGGGCCGGCGGCCGCCATGGCCTGAGGCGGGCGCTGAGGGGGCGCGCGCCCCCTCAGGGCCGGGGCCGCCCGGGGGGGAACCGGGGGAACCGGGCGAAGCCTGTGTCAGGCCTCGGCCTCACCCCCGTCTGTGGGATCCGCCGCCCGCCGGAGCGTCTGTCGCCTCTGGGAGGCACCGGGCTCCGCCGTCCCCCGGGGGCAGCCAGCGGGCAGCTTTGGCGGCAGGTTCAATGCAGGTGTAGGGATAATTAGGTTAATTAATTGGCTCCTGATGACTGAGCAGCAGGGTTGTTAGGGTGGCTGGCAGGGCTGTGGAGAGGCGAGCCTGGGCCAGCAGCCTTTGGTTTTCTTGGGGAAGGTGGGGAGAACCAAGGGGTGAAACCCAGCATCCATAGAAGGTGACACGTCTGGTAACCAGTGACATTCCTCCAGTTCACCCAGTTGGGCGGCTCTGTCTCCCATCAGAAGACATTTAGTGATGAAAGAGGCTTCTGAGGTCCGAAAGTTGTCAGAGGCCTTTTGGATGAAGCTGTTCCTTAGGGCCATGTCTTATATCCCTTCCATGAGACCCACCGGGTCCATCTCGGGGGGAAGCCCGGGGATTAAATTGCCTTAAGCGTCTCCACACGTTCTGGGGAGGTTTCCTGGAAACTGGGGGGACACGGCACCACGTCAGGAGCCGTTCACCCCCGTGTGAGGGGCTTTGCTTCAGCAGATACTTCAGCCTATATCAGATACTTAACCCTATATGTAACTATGTATTTAAACCATCTTTTAAGTGCGTATGGTACAGACTGAATGCTGAAGACAGAACAGTTAGATAACATACTTAACAAAAATACAAATTTCATAACTGCTAGCATATCTACAGCATACTTTGAAGTGTTAACTTATTTATTTATCTTAAAATGTCCTTATGAATTAGATAAGTAGTGCGCTTCCCAAACGGACCCCCTCGCTGCGATGCCCATGTGTTGCTGGAATGTGATTTATTATTCTGCGCTTCGTTAAACAAGCACATTAATTTTTTTCTTCTGCTGGTCTTCAGGAGTTACCAGTCGTCCTTCCTGGTTTCCACAATGCACCAGGCTCCTGCACCTCGCGCTGGAGGGAAGTGTTTTCATTTCGCTGCCTGTCTGTCACCTATAAATCACACACGTTCCCAGTACAAAGGGCCGCGTTCTCCTCTGCGGTTGTGCTGCTGATAATAATAATAACAAACATCATTATCACTACTTAGGCGTTCGTGTTCCTGATTGCGCTTCACAGCCTCTGCATTAGATGAGGCTTTATTTAATTATTTGCTAGAATAATAGCAATTTTCATTTGCTTTTTTATTTTTTTTTTTAAAAAGATAATCTAGAAGCAGGAGCTCTGAATAAAAAGTGATTTTTTCCTTAAATGAAGGGGAAAAGAGGCAGCAGCGCCGGCGCTGTTAGCAATGGGGAAAAATTAAGTTTGTAAATGGAATTCAGATGTCAATAGCAGCAAGGATTTGCCAACGAAGTTCTGTATTACTGACTGATGACTAATGATTGTGTTTACTGCTGAAAGAATTATCATCTGCTAATCCCAAACTTGATTTCTTCCTTCCTTGCAAATGCAATGTTTCTTGGACTTAAGGTAACAAGCAAAGTTTAAAAAAAAAAAAAAAGCCATAAAAATTCCCTGGGATGGTTTTGTCTTTATCCACTGCCTGCTCTGCAGACTCCAAGTTCAAGTGCAGTTAATGCCAGGGAGGATGCAGCTGCTTTAAATCACAACACCGTTGGTGAGTTATTCTTCAATTTTTGCCATGTGCTGCTGGGACAGGAGGATTTTTTTCAGTTTCTTACATTCATTTGTGGCTTTAAGTACAGGACATTTCCCTGTTTCCTTTTGATTACAGAACTGTCTCTCTGTTTCATTTATCTCACTGAATTCATGCTTCAGTTTATATTGGCTGTGATAAATTTAACATGAACATTCTTTAGATCAGAATGTTTAAAACATCCACGTGTTCTATATTTTAACTGACATTTGAAGTTTTGAACTTTGTTTTTAATTTTTCAAACGAGCATTGAAATAAATGTCTCTAGCTCTTCCTAAAATGGTTTTCCCAACCTCCTCGTGAAGCAGAAATCAAATGTGCCGTTTTACCTCAAAAGCCTGGATTTGGGGAATCCTCCATTAAATGTTTTTCCTTAATGCTTTGCACAAATGGGTCACTGTGATGCCTGAGGATGCTTATTAATTGGTTCCATGCTCAATTTAATTCTCAAATATGTTGTAACTCATTTACATTTACAAGGTGTAACACAGAATTTTCGTTATTTTATAGCTATAAATTGCTCCATTCTCTCCAAAATTTCTAGGTGATAACTGTGTAGGAATTCTTTCCCCCTGTCCACTGTTGTTCCTGTGGGTAGTGCAGGGACAGGAACGGGGGACCAGGAGTTACTGAAGCTGTTTCAAAGCACTCAGTCACCACTTGTGTCTTTGAAAACATTGCTAAAAATCATTAAAATCCCCCTACATTTCTATTTTCAGGGTAAAATCCTGCCGAGCTGTTGTAATACGGTGCAGAGAGGTAAGGAGTACACTTTTGTTGTTGTTGTTGTTGTTTGGTTTCTAAGGAACCCTTTAAGTCTTTTGGTTTTTTAAACTTTTTGACTTAAATGAGCTTTTACAGTCTGAGGCCCCAGGGGCCGTGAGGAGCCACACACTTGGAGTTACATTCATAATGATACTCCCTTTTGGAAGGAAACCACCCCCTGAACAAAGGCTGTCCCTGGAGCTCCCATTGAAGTTTTGCACCCCTTTGGTTCATTACTTATGCAAATAACCTGCCACCGCACGAGACACCTAAGGGAAGTCGTAATAAAAACAGAGTTCCCCCCACAGGAGTGGGGGATTTGGCCCAGGATCAAGATATTTCTCTGCAGGAAGCTGTTGTGGCTGTAAAAAATGTCTGTCATTTTAATCATTGGTTTTGTTTGTCTTGTGGAGTCCCAGCTGAGATTTCCCTTTGCCGTTTCTCTAAACATCTGGTTGTTGTCATCTCGTTATTGTCAACCTCGAAGTAGAAAGATCGGGCTCTCCAAGATTACGCAACTTCTTTGAGCGTTATGAAATTATTAAAAATAATAAATGTGAGGGATCTTGTACTTGTTTCAGCTTCAAGCTGTGAGCTCTCCCTAAAGATGAGGCTTAGCGTGTTTCCTCTTAAAAGAGACACTGTGATTCCTTTGGAGATAGCGGGACGGCGGGATTTGGCAGAAATCTCCCTTGTGAGACTCGAGATAAAATTTGAAAGTCGTCAACAGCATCGTTTATTATTGGGTGTGTGGAGATCTAACCCTGGTTCCCAGTGGAATTGCCAGGTAGATGAGTATTTCATGGCACAATAAAAGACCATGGGTGAGACTGGGAGGAGGCTGTTTGTGGTGCAGATGATGGGTGGCCAACTTGAGGTCACTTAATGCCTGGAGACCCCCTTCCACGTGGCTTTAAGACAAATTCCCACTAGTGCTTTCCATCCTGCCTCTGCACGAAAGGCTGGGAACAAATACCCACATAAATAAACTGAGAAAGGAATTCTGAAAACTTTATCTCAAATGCATTAGGCACTTCTGGCTTCCAGGCTAATTCTGATAGCAATGGTATTATTTCAGGAAGAACACCCCCCCACTTCCAAATTTCTCCATTTTTTCATAATCCCTTCTCTTTCATAATCCCGTAATCCATAACACTTCTTACTCCTGCTTTGCTATTGTTTGGATTGTTTTTCTCTAAAAGAATTTCTAGTGTTTTTATTGACTCCAAAATTGAGGATGAGTTGCTTAAACAACAGATTGGGCCAGTAATTGGGTGGTCCTTTGAAAAATAACGGGAAATAACAGACTCATTCTCACTGGGGACAGTTTAGCAGCATCCCAGGCAGCCTAAAGAGGGAAATCTGGTTTTCCAGCACTCTGGGCAGCTCTCAATCTTGAAAAAAATCTTCTTTAAGAGGTAATTCCGTGATGTTTTCTGCAGGCAAGTGGTCTGTCCTTGGCTGCCTTGTTTAAGGGGCTGAAGGGCCCTGAGAGGTTAAACCCATTGCTCCTGCCAAAGCAGACACAAGGGGAGACCCGGCGCTGCTCTGGCGAGCTCCCGCTCCTGGAGAACTTGAAGTATTGCCCAAAATCTAGAGTTTTAAAGCAGAACTGTTTCCGCCTTTGCTGGCGGAAAGCGCGCGGGGCTGTGTCTGCGGGAGGGCGGTTACTTGGGTACAAAATACCCAAATAAAGGTATGTGGGGTACGAAGAGGAGCAGGTGAGGAGCGCGGCGGCGGCAGAGGCCGGGGCTCAAGGGGTGCCCTGAAATCTCCTCCGCTCTCCCAGGACGCAGAGGAGGAATTTCTCTCCCCGTCCTTTGGCTCTGGATCCTCCCCTTGGCAGCGCCTCTCCCCAGCCCTGCCCGCCCCTTCGCTCCTGGATATATCTCACCCTCCACCAGCAGCTTTTGCTTCGCCAAAATCCAGCCCCGGCAGCTGAACTTCCTCTTGCTCACGGATCCAACATGGGTAAGAGAGATCCAGCCCCGGGATCCAGCTGGGATCCACTGCCCTTGGCTGCTGTTCTGTGCTGGGGGGTGTGTAAGGGGGGGCCAGCGGGTTCCTTATGGGGGACTGGTGAGGAGAGACGGGGCTGAAGTTCAGCATTTCCTCCGGCTGCTGAAAGGTTTACTTTTTGAAGCTTCAGGAGCCCCCTGTGGTTTTAAATCAGCAGCTTTAGGGCTGTCAGTAAATGCCTTTTACGCTCCCATTAAAGGTCTCTTGGAACCTGGGCATTTGGGAGCTGGGAGAAGCGTTTGGAGTCGCTGCTCCGGTTCATTGGGAGGGTGAACGGTGCTGAGGGAGATTGTCAGGAAATGGGGGAACAGAATTTAACTTTTGGCTTACATTTTTTTGATAGACCATCTAATTTTCATGGACTTTGGATACATGGATGGGAAACAGAAAGAAGGATTTGTGGATGTTAACGTATTACCGTGTAATTTGCAAGGTGGACACTGTTACGCTGATTTCTCAAAGTGGGTTAAATTGTAGACCTTGGTTAAAAAAAGCCCTTATTACACAGAGAAAAATACCAATTCTGACTCAGCAAAAGTGAGTTTGGTTTATCTGCCCGGGGTGAACGTTTATCTCTTTGTGCTTTTGTAAGTACAAAGTAAACTGTGTTTGCTTTGCGTCGCTTTCTGACAGGCTGTAAGTTTCAGTTTGTAGCCCAGGATAATGAAAGTTTTGTCTCGGAGGAGTCGCCAGGCAGAGCATAAAGAGTGAATTAAATACTGCACCTTAAACTTCAAGCAGCGTGTGATAGTAAATGATTGGCCACGGGGTTTGGAAAAGTGTGCTCTTGGCAGCGCCGCAGAGAGAGTCTTGGACCGCTCTTCAAAAATGTAACAGATCATTAAAATCCACTTGTATAATCTGTGACTTGGGAAAGGAGCTGGGTTCCAGAGAGGAGGTGCTGCCTTTGGCTGCGGTGCTGTGCGAGGCCCGAGTCTGGTCGTGTCTGGAGCCCAGCTGCTACTCCTGGCTTGTGTGAGCTGAAGAAATAGTGAAATAGTGCATAGAAATAGTGCTGTAGTGCATAGAATAGTGCTGTAAAATAGTGCATGGAAAGAGACAAAGCCTTTCCTTCTTTCCTTTGTTTCACGCTGTTAAACCCAAACCGTCAAAGGACACCTCTGTGTGTGAGTAGTTACCGAATTTACTGTGAAACTGCGCTTTATCAGGTGGGGTGTTTTTTTACAGTGCTATTACCCCTTGTTGTAAATCTATAAACCTCATTATCCAGCCTCCTGCCGGCTCTGGGTTCAGCTGAGGAGGGTTTGCTCGTGCTGCAGCTTCCTCGGTGGCTTTCCATATCACTTCAGAAGTTTTAACACACTGATTAGGTAACTATAAATGGATTGGCCTTTTATTTAAAAAAAAAAAAAAACAACCAAGCAGCTTCTTTCAGAAGTTGTTCATAAAACAGTCTCTTAAATCATGCTTAGTGGTATTCCAAAAAAAAAAAAAACCAACAAGCAGCTTATTTCAGAAGTTGTTCGTAAAACAGTCTCTTAAATCATGCTTAGTGGTATTCCTTGCCCTTTGGGAGGATCTGTATTTCCCAATATTTCTTTGCCCTGAGGAGCTCAGCATTTCTGAAGCTTTTCCAGCCCTTGAGAAAGCGGCGAGAGGTCTGTGTCACCGGCCTGGCAGAGGGACACGGGGCACCCCGGGGGCTTGGCTCCCCCCGGGACGGGGGTGGATGAACCCAGAGGTGTCTGGGCTCTTTGGCAGCTCCAGTCCCTGGTCTGTGACCTCTGGGGAATTTACCTGGCCCCGTGGGACAACTCGGTGCCCAAAAAAATGAGAGAAATGAAGCGTGTTATTCTTCACTGCCACCCAAAAGAGTGGGGTGTCTCGGCCACCATCAGAGAAGCTCTTTTAACATTCATGCCATTGGGAACTGCCTCCTTTTTGTCGAAAACTTCCTGAGCCCCTCAGTAAACTTTATGTGGGAAATCATGGCCTGTGTATTCTCAGCTGGTTTACGTGCAGCAAAATAGCCCCAAACCTTGTTGACCTGCATGGAGTTTTCCACAGTGGCCCATGGATCACGGTTGGTGGCCCACGAAGGAATGGACAGTTGCCTTGGGTTTACTGTCCCTCCCGTTCTCCAAAAAGAGGAGCAGAACAGGTGGAAGGACCTGAAAAAATAGGGAGCCAAAGGAAGTTAGGCTGGATCCCACAGTTCCCTTTGCACTCCCTGAGAAAGAATTGCTGCAGGCAACAGTAGCAAAAGGGAGAGTGATATTTTTATCAGCTCTTGGTGTATATATATAAATAACTGCATAGGAGTAAGGAGGAATCAGGCTTATTGTAACTTCATTTGCGAAAAAAAAAAGAGAAAATTGTACAATGAAGCAGTTAAAGCAAAATGCAGATGTTTCTCCTGTTAAATTCACACGTGAGCCAGTGGCGGCAGAGAAACGTTCTTTGATTTAGAAAACCAGGAAAGGTGGACTTTGTGGATAAGAACCTACCCATAAGAGAATTTGCAGTGTATCTTATACCTTTATAGGCCAAAAAAACCCCAACCCTTTTTGTCCTCGCTGGAGTTTGCAAACCCCATGGGTGTGATATGGGGTCCCACTTCCCGGTACCCACCATGTGGGCAGCTGCCAGATCAGTGGGGATCTGGGGGTAATAAGTCCCATTAACGAGTTTAGCCGTGGATTATTAAGGTAGTAGTGTAAGTATTACTGTTAACGTGTTGCTACGAGATGGTACACATCGCGGTTTCATGACAAAAACCTGGTTTTGTATTCACAAATGAGCTTGGCATCGTGTCCCAGGGCAAGGCTTGTGCCATCCCCCGGTACCTTCGGGCGCTGAGATACAATGGGTCGGAATAAAGGAGTTTGTGTACGAGATCAGAGGGAAAGGAGGGAAAATCTGGGGGAGAAGAAGGAAGAGAAAACGCTCATCATCCTGCTGTATGTTTTCTCTGGAAAACAATTTGGCACAAATACTCTTTTTTCTCAAAGTAATCTGCAGAAAATGGCATTTGCAATGCTAATTGCGCTGTGGTCTAACGCGTACTGAGCTCCTGCTAATTTAGGTGATTGAGAAAATTGGAATAAAGTTTAAATTATGGCTTAGACATAAATGGAACAAAGAAAACTTTGCGCCTTCAAAACAACACATAGTTTGTGTTTCCAGATAAAAATATTTCACAAAGAATGTGAAATTAAACCTAAAGTACTAAATTACTCTTTCTGAGAAGATTACTCTTTCTGAGTTTTTAAGTTATGAGCCTCTGCCAGCAGAGAATGAATTGCTGGGAGCGTTTTGCCTTCAAAGAAAGGCTCATAATGCAATGGGCACCGGAGCTGTCACTGCCTCTGGGTTTGAAATCTGAGATCTGGGGCATTCTGAAAGAAACTGTTGCTATAAGCTCTTTACTAAATATCTGAGAGTGGCAAATAATGAGTTGGTTTCCTTATTTTTCTTAGAGATACTTGAGGTACAGAGGGAGGCAACTATTCTATGTTTTTGCTTCATGCCACATTGAAAAAAATACGCTGCCATCCTGCTGCACCCAGTTTTTAAGTTATGAGCCTCCGCCAGCAGAGAATGAATTGCTGGGAGCGTTTTGCCTTCAAAGAAAGGCTCATAATGCAATGGGCACCGGAGCTGTCACTGCCTCTGGATTTGAAATCTGAGATCTGGGGCATTCTGAAAGAAACTGTTGCTATAAACTCTTTACTAAATATCTGAGAATGGCAAATAAGGAGCTGGTTTCCTTATTTTTCTTAGAGATACTTGAGGTACAGAGGGAGGCAACTATGTTTTTTTGTTGAAAAAAATACGCTGCCATCCTGCTGCACAGCCCTTCTGTGTTCTGTGTCTTCGTGTTTAAAACAGCTGGTTACGTACTGGTGCTGTTTAGGGACAGAGCAGAAGCTTCTGCATTGTGGCCTGGGTTGAGCAGCTCCTGCAGTTCCCCAACTCTAGAAAAGTGGAGGCTCTTTACTAAATATCTGAGAGTGGCAAATAATGAGTTGGTTTCCTTATTTTTCTTAGAGATACTTGAGGTACAGAGGGAGGCAACTATGTTTTTTTGTTGAAAAAAATACGCTGCCATCCTGCTGCACAACCCTTCTGTGTTCTGTGTCTTCGTGTTTAAAACAGCTGGTTACGTACTGGTGCTGTTTAGGGACAGAGCAGAAGCTTCTGCATTGTGGCCTGGGTTGAGCAGCTCCTGCAGTTCCCCAACTCTAGAAAAGTGGAGATTTATCTGCATCAGTTAAGCCCATAAACTTGCGACATGTTGTAACTGCCCCTTAAAGCGATATTTCAGGGTAATCTTGTCTTAATTCTAGCCAACGATTTATCAATGCGACCCTGAGCGTGTAGGTTCTGTTGACTGTCGGAGTAAAAATTGTTGTGTACGAGGAAATTGTTTTAATACAATTTTGAGGACTTGGGCGTCGAGACATCCAGACACATCGGTTGGGTTTGACCTTCTGCCACCACAACAGGACACGTTCCTCCCGATGCAAAGCCCAGCCTTGGGTCAGAGATGGTCCCTCTGTCTTTGGTGGGCTTCCCTTCTCCAGAGGACACTCAGGTTCCCTTTAGCTTTCTAAAAGTTATCTGATTCCTGATGTAGTTGCAGAGCTGGGGGGGGAGAACGAGGGTTTGTGGTGGCTGGAAGAGTGGGAGCAGAGGTGGGGGCCTGAGTCTGTAATGGAGAGAAGGTGGAATGGTTTGTAATTCCCCTTCCTCTTGTCCTTTCTGGTCACCTTCAGTGTCACCTCTTGCCCAGGCTGTAAATCCTTAAAAATAACCAGAGCAAGACTGGAGGTTTTCCAGTAGTAATAAAATGGGTTGTTCACATCGGGCAATCTGTCTCCTTACTCATCTGGCAGGGATTCAGCAGCTCTCTCTAAAACATTTAACACAATTTTTTTAAAATCCCAGACCCTTGTCATATATGAATGTGCTTTAAAATTGTGTGGCTGAACTCCTTGAATTGAAGGCCCAAATTTCCTATTATTTATGAGCAAGAGGTGTCACATTCTGTAGATTTTCAGAACCTCAAGTAACTTCAGCGCTGACTGGAGCCAGCGAGACTTACAGGAGTCTGACAACGTAAAAAATGAATATAAGATTTGTCAATCTCTGAATGCAAAGAGGTATCCTCTTCGAGATCGGCTTTGAAATAATTTGGACATTACAACAACTTATTTTTTTCTCTCCAATTAGCGAAATGCGGAGCGTGTGGCCCAGGATACGCAACTCCTCTGGATGCCATGAAAGGCAAGTTCTGTTCCATCTTTCCCTAAATCCCGGCCATTGGTAAAGGAGCTGTGGGATATTCAGGGTGATGTAGTTTAACACAAACTTCTCGTCCACTCCTGGCTCTACAGAACTCACCTTCTGGTCTTCTGGCTGAGTCCTGAACCTCGTTAACGCCCTTGAGGTGTTTTACTGTAGCTTTTAATGATGTCAGAACTTCACCTTGAGTCCTTTGATGTACTTCTACAGCCTCGATTTTATAGATTGTAATGAGTAGGCTGTTGGCACAGGCTGACAGACCTGGGCGCTGGCAGCAGGGAGTCACTCTGTGGAGCTGGGGGGAGCAGAGCCTTGGCATGGCCTGGCAGGTGGGAAGGTGGTCTCCAGCACTGACTTTTTGCAGGGAAATAATTGCATCCCCAAAATCCCTTCCATGAGGAGGGCGAGGGAGCGGAAAAGCCCCACAGCTGAGTGAGCACTTGCTCCTGGCGATTCATGGCTGCTCAAACTATACCCTACCAGCCTTTCTCCATAAAATGGAAATGCTGCAGTCCAGCTTCCTAGGAAGAATCACAATTTACAGATGGAGAGATTAAATCCAGAGAAGATTCTCTTCAAGTTAACCACAGCTTTTTGTAAAAAGGGTTTCTTTTGATGCATTAACCAACACTTGTGCCCAAAAGGTCCCCGGGAGGAGATTGTGTACCTGCCCTGCATCTACAGGAACACGGGGATAGACAAGCCCGACTACCTGGCCACTGTGGACGTCAACCCCAAATCTCCTCACTATTGTCAGGTACCATTTTCAAGGCTGGTGTATATTTGGGTTCACATTCGCCGTTTCGAGCCTTACTTCTCATCTGGGTCATGACCCTTCCTTCCCTGCTCTGGCTTTGACTTCATCTTTCTTTTCTCATAACCATTTTCAGGCAGATATTTGTGTTGAGAACCAATCAAATCCTCTGCTGCTTTTCTTATGAGGCTACTCAGAGCTAACATTTATCCTGTTAGTCTCCAGACACTTTCGGAGCGTTTTTGTGCTTAGTATTTTGATTGTTCTTTTTGTAACACTAGTGCAGATTTACACTGAGCAAGAGTATTAAGCTCTAGAAGCTGATATTTCCTCGGGGTATGTCAGTGGTATAGACAGAGTTTATAACAGGGGAGGTCTGATACCCCAGGAAGTTCTGCATGTTATAAATCTCATCCATTTACTTTATAACTGGGGAGCTGGAGGTAGTTACTACCAATGGACCAGCTCCAAACTGTTGGTAAGACTGTCCTTAGTTCAGTTTGTTGCTGCAGGTTGTTCACTAAACTGTGTTGAAACGTGCAGTGCTTATCTGACTTGCATTGCTGAGGTACTTTGGACTGGAGCAGGGAATCTGGTTTGACATCAAAGATTTTCATAATTTGTTCTTCTTTTTAAATAGCTACTGCTCAGGGTTTTATTGTGGAGGAGTGGAGGAAACAAGTCTTCTAAAACTTTGACAAACTTTGCTCTAATCTTCCAACTTCCCCTGGTTACGCAGAGGAAGGGTAATCAGAAGTGAGATTGCAATTAACATGTCAGTTTGCTGCAGCCAGCCCCAGTTGCAATCGGGTAAATCCTGTAAAGCAGAAACTTGCAGCACATGGACAAGTGATGCTTTTTTTCTGTTGGTCTTTCCTGTATCATTATTCTATGTCTCCTTAATTAGATAGAGCCTTTTAAAGATTTGGGTTCATTTACTAGCGTACAGCATTTAACAAATGCTATGGAATTACCATGTCCAACTTCCTTCTCCCACTTTACAGCTTCAGCTCTGCAGATCTCGGGCTGAATCTGCTTCCTGAATAACAAATAGCAGTTTCCTTCTGCTCTTTATTAATTTATGCTTTGACATAAAGACCCAGTTTCTTTGCCTGGGGGAAAAAAACTGTACCAGCCTGAATCTTAACTCTGTCTCTGGCTTTGCAGGTGATCCACCGCCTGCCCATGCCGAACCTGAGGGACGAGCTGCATCACTCGGGGTGGAACGCCTGCAGCAGCTGCTTTGGGGATGCCACAAAGAGCAGGAATCGTCTGATTCTACCCAGTCTGATCTCTTCTTGCATTTACGTGGTGGATGTGGGCACAGACTCACGAGCTCCCAGAATCCATAAGGTACATTTAGGTCACGTCGAGTTGGGGTTTTATTTCTTACATTTGGACCAAGAGAGAGTGATTTCATGGATTCCAACTTCAAATTATAATAGGAGAGTCGAGCAGTTACAGAAGCTTTTGTCAGGTATTAGGAACTTGTGGGAGTTTTGAAGTTCATACAACTTATTGTATTGTACACACAAAAATCTTGCACTGAAATATGGGTACTCATACAACTTATTGATAACCTGCACACAAAAATCTTGCACTGAAATATGGGTAAATGCACTCTTCCCTCGTAGGGATGGGATTGTGTGGTGCTCTCAGAGGTGACTGTGACTATGTGTGTACTCGTTTCAGGTTGTGGAGCCCGTGGACTTGTACTGGAAGGGTAACGTGGCAAACCCTCACACCTCACACTGTCTGGGCACTGGTGAAATCTTAATCAGCTGCTTGGGAGACCCTTCTGGCAATGGAAAAGGTATTTGTCCCCCACGTTACTCTAGGAAAGTGTTTGTGGTGCAGTACAGGCTGGAAGCATTTTTAGGAGCTTTGTTGTTTAAGTTACTATAGAGTAAATATTTCGTTCATTACCATGTTAAATCCAACTTTCATTTGCTTTAATCCACAAAAGGATGTGATAAAGTTCTTTTAAAGTCCAACTTTCATTTGCTTTAATCCACAAAAGCGATACTAATGGAATCGCAAAATTTTCCTTAAGCACGGGGTTGTGTTTTACAGTGTGTTTAGAAAAAAGCACATTTAAAGATGAATGTATTATTTATCTTATTTAAAGCTGTGAATCTGTGTGAGTGTCTTCAGGCGTTGTTTTCTGTGTTTGTATCAGGTGGCTTCATTTTGCTGGATGGAGAGACCTTCGAAGTGAAAGGGAACTGGGAGAACGGGGAGAAGGTGCCTCCCCTGGGCTATGACTTCTGGTACCAGCCACGACACAACGTCCTGATGAGCACGGAGTGGGGAGCCCCCAAAGTCTTGGCAAACGGGTTTAACCCAGCCGATGTGGCGAAAGGTGAGGGAGCGTTTGTACAAACTCTGAGAAGTGAAAAGTGATTCTTGGTTACAATAATGCCTTCTGTGCTTACTCCTGTCCCACCTCATCCGTTAGGGCACTACGGCCGCCGCATTAACGTGTGGGACTGGAGCACCCACACCTACCTCCAGGCAATTGACTTGGGGCAGGGCTCCATTCCTTTGGAGATCCGGTTCCTCCACAATCCCGACGCCGCGGAAGGGTTTGTCGGATGCGCCCTCAGCGGCGCCGTGCATCGCTTCTACAAGACGGAGGTGAGCAACGAACGCCGTGGCAAACAGGGAGCTGAAGCCAAGGTGCTTCAGAAACCCATCCATCACTTAGGAAATAGTCACATTCAGATTGTTGATTGGTTTAATCACTGTTAATGAATTGTCAGTCTCGAAGAGGGAAGGTCTTGCCAATGATGGGAACATTAGTGACCACTTGAACGTGCTGCAGCGTTAGTCCATGGCCTGCTCTCTGCCAAACGGGCATCTATTGGGCAGCTGATCAGAAGGTGTGGAACTTGTCAGTGATGTCAGTGTGTGCTCCTGCTGCTCAGCTGGTGTTGGGAAGCCCAGGGAAGACCTGAAGGGAGAGGAGGGAGGGAGGGAGGGAAAGTGATGGGGTCATGGACAGGGGAGTGGGGCTGTTGCTGTTGAGAGGGCGAGCCGCAGACAGAGAGGACACTGAGCTGTAGGAGAGCAGCAGTCTTTAGTCCTGCTGCTGCTCCAACAGTCTGTTTGAGATGCTGTTGCACAGTGTAATCATTAACATCCTCACTGGCAGTGTGGTAACCATCCTCACCCCTTGGTAACACTTATTTGCAGTGTCCATATCACCTCTGTACAGGAGCTGTTAAATAAATAGCACTATTTGCTGCTTCTCCTGCCTCTGTCAGGCAGAGCTGAGCTCTCTTGGGTAGCACCGAGCGGTGGTAACGCTGTGTTCCCTCCTGTGCCTTCTGCAGAAAGGAGACTGGGCTGCAGAGAAGGTGATTGAAGTGCCCAGCAAGAAGGTGCAAGGATGGCTCCTCCCTGACATGCCTGGTCAGTGTGAGCTTGGTTGGAAAAGAAACGGGGCCTTGTCCTCTTCAGTTCCTTGGTACAGTGTGGCTTTTTGCAAAATCCTATCCTTGAATGCCAGCCACTTCCCTTGGAAAATACTAAATTTCTGTCTGGGTTCTGTGTGTAACACTTCTGCCGTAACCTAATTAGCCTTGCTTGTGAGCCACCAAGTAGGAGGTTGTCAGACCGCTGCTCCCACGCTGCTCAGCGCCTGAGCTCGGTTTCTCTAGAAAAATACGTGGAGTTTGGGTCTTTGAGCCTGAGCTCATGGTATTCAGGAATGGTCCTGGGAGTGCTGGGAGAGCCAGAACCTCCTTTGAGTAGGCACTGCCTTTCCAAGGACGATCGATTGTCCAACCCATATCTTAACAGACTTTTCTGAGGCTACTGCGACTAGAATTGTGAAAGGCGATAGGCTTGTGGTCTTTTTTGTTGCTGCTCCTGTCTGTTTCCTGACTTTGCTGCTGAATATTTTCTTGAAGGTCTTATCACCGACATCCTCATCTCGCTGGATGACCGGTTCCTGTACTTCAGCAACTGGCTGCACGGGGACATCCGCCAGTACGACATCTCCAACACGCGCCAGCCCAAGCTGGTGGGGCAGGTGGGGCAGCGTCAGAAGAGCTGTCACGTACCCAGGCAGTACAGGCATCTTATTTCCCTCTTTTTTTTTAAGAGGAGAAAATTACAATTTACTTTTGCTTGAGAAATGTCACGATTTTGCTTTCGTGTCCCTTCGATGGCCGCCGCCTGCTCTCACGCGTCCCCTTGGTTGCAGGTGTTTCTGGGGGGCAGCATCACCAAAGGTGGGCCTGTGACTGTGGTGGAGGACAAGGAGTTGCAGTGTCAGCCGGAGCCCTTTGTGATCAAAGTAAGTTGTGCCAACGTGCACGGGGGGGTTGGTGCTCTCCTGCCAAGGATCTGAGAGCAGTGGATAGTCCCTCCAAGTCACGGAGCTGTTTCTCCTGGCTGTTGCATTTCTTTTGCTCAACCTCCACGGCAGCTGGTCCGGGGGGGTTGGTGCCCTCCTGCCAAGGATCTGAGAGCTCCGGATGGTCCCTCCAAGTCACGGAGCTGTTTCTCCTGGCTGTTGCATTTCTTTTGCTCAACCTCCACGGCAGCTGGTCTTGAGCACCTTGTTCTCTGTTATAACCTCAGGGGAAGAGGGTGCCGGGGGGACCCCAGATGATCCAGCTGAGCTTGGATGGGAAGAGACTGTACGTCAGCACCTCCCTCTACAGTGGATGGGACAAGCAGTTCTACCCAGATCTTGTCAAGTAAGAAAACTTTGGTAAACAAACTGTCCGAGCTGATGTTCAGGATTTCTCTCTTAACTAGAGATAGGCATGTTCTGCTGGTGCAGGGGGCAGAGTTCCCACCCAGGGAGACCCAATCCTGTAACATTTATTCACAGAATGGGCAGAAAGTGGTGAACATGACCTGGAATCCCTAGTAGCCCCAGAATCCCTAGTACCCCCAAACTGCCTTTGAGGGCATCAGCAGGACTTTGTGGTGTTGGGAATGGAAGGAAGAAGATGATCTCCCAGACGGCCACGGGAGGGCACAGCGCAGCTTGCCTAGTCCTTTCCAAGTTATAACAGCTGCTAATTTTCCCTCCTTCGTTGCTAATTTGAGGTTGCAGGTTTCACTGAGGTGATGGAACTCACTTTTGAGACCTGCTAAGCCCCAATTTCAATCGGGGGCTCTTCGCATTTTATATTAAACAACGACAAATCCTGGCCAAATACGGAAGAGAAGAGCAACAAACAGGAATCCTTTTCCCATTATCTGTTTTCTTGTCCCTTTTCCAGGGAAGGCTCTGTTATGCTGCAGATTGATGTGGATACTGAAAGAGGTGGATTGAAAGTGAATAAAAACTTCCTAGTGGATTTTGGGAAGGAACCTGATGGGCCTGTCCTGGCTCATGAGATCCGTTACCCTGGCGGAGACTGTACCTCTGATATCTGGATGTAATCGTTGCATGCAGCTGGTCTCTTATTTTTCTCTTTCTCCCTCTCTCTCCTCCCTGCCCTCCACTTCTCTTTCAAGTGGGCAAATTGGTTCAGCTGGAGCTTCATCTGGCACCAAAATGTAGAATCCCATTAGGGTGAGCCACCAGGGCTTCATTTTCTGCTCATTCTGAGCAGCCAAGTGCATCTCTCCGAAACTCTAGTCCTTTCCAAGTTATAACAGCTGCTAATTTTCCCTCCTTCGTTGCTAATTTGAGGTTGCAGGTTTCACTGAGGTGATGGAACTCACTTTTGAGACCTGCTAAGCCCCAATTTCAATGTGGGGCTCTTCAAATTTTATATTAAACGACGACAAATCTTGGAAGAGAAGAGCAACAAATAGGAATCCTTTTCCCATTATCTGTTTTCTTGTCCTTTTTTCAGGGAAGGCTCTGTTATGCTGCAGATTGATGTGGATACTGAAAGAGGTGGATTGAAAGTGAATAAAAACTTCCTAGTGGATTTTGGGAAGGAACCTGATGGGCCTGTCCTGGCTCATGAGATCCGTTACCCTGGCGGAGACTGTACCTCTGATATCTGGATGTAATTGTTGTATGCAGCTGGTTTCTTATTTTTCTCTTTCTCCCTCTCTCTCCTCCCTGCCCTCCACTTCTCTTTCAAGTGGGCAAATCGGTTCAGCTGGAGCTTCATCTGGCACCAAAATGTAGAATCCCATTAGGGTGAGCCACCGGGGCTTCGTTTTCTGCTCATTCTGAGCAGCCAAGTGCATCTCTCCGAAACGCGATAGACATCTCCTTTGCTCTGCTCCTCCCTCTCTCACAAGGGCCTGTGTAATCACTAGTGACTGCAGGCCTCAAGGCCGAGGTCACGAGTCTTTTCAGCACTCTTTGCCTTGTTTGGTGCCAGTTTGCCCTGCCACTGTTCTGGGGGGGGAGAAGCTGTTCCTATATAACTCTTTAAGAGGGATCCATTCCCTGGGCTTGCCCCGGGGCAAGCGTGTCCTGTCCCTGCAGAGCTTGATTTGCTCATAAAGTACTCAGTGCTTTACAGCAGACATAAAAATCATGCGTATCTAATCTGAAGCCACATGTTTCCAGAGCTGGGTTATATTTTAACATTTGTGCACCGATGTTATAAAAAAAAATCAACAATAAAATTGTTCTTCAAGTCAGGTGGAACTTCATTTTTTTTTCGTCTTTTCAGCATTTCGCTGTTTCAAGTGAAAGAAAGAATATAGTTCTTTTATAGTTCTTTCTGTTTCAAAGAGCATAAAACGCAAGATCATTTCAGAAAGTTAACAGTGTCCTAGGTCTAAAAATCCTTTGGTGAGGAATTTATTTTCGCTGAAACCACCTTTGTTCCTGCTATTGCAAGTAAAGATTCTCTTCTGTTTTTTTCCTGCAAAAACCTTTTTTGCAGACTGTGCTGAGCCGGGTGATGCTGGCAGCGGGTGTCTCTTGGCTGTCCTGTGACTTCTGGAGCAGAGGAGCACTCACAGGTCCACCCTTTCTCCTCTCGCTGGTTCCTCATGCCCCTTCCCAGGCTGGTTCTTGGCTCTGACTCTCTTTTCTGCCTCCCTCGAGGTGTTGCTTTCCATCTATCTCCATCACCAGCCTCTGCCACGTCCAGCCGAGGTTCAGCACCGCCGCTTCCAGCGCTGGAGTCCCAGCAGCAGCCTGTTAATGGGACTTCCCTCTGGAGCCTTTTGAGAGGGCTTTTTTCTGACTTTTACTGTGCTTCCACAGCAAAATCCCCATCCAGCTGACAGCTCTTGCTTTAGAATCAAGACTTCTGTACATCACAGCTTCCTGTCTTGCCTAAAATATCTGGAACCAGGCTTGGAGAGTTCAATTTTGTATTTTTAACATAAGACATCCGTGTGGGTGCCCTGCTAAAGACAGTAGATGATCTTCCAGATGACCACAGGAGGGCATAGTGCCGCTTGCCTAGTCCTTCATAGGAACTAGTTCTTAGTTTTCACTCATTCATGGTTAATTTGAGGTTGCAGATTCATTCCCCAGGTCATCTCCAAGACAAGCAGATGTGTTTGCACCAGAAAGAGAGTCTATTTGTAGTATTTCCAGCAAGTGCAGGAGGACAGTGAGATACATTCTATCCCAGTTATTAGCTGGGAAGGTTTTAGAATGGAGAAGAGTTTCTGCTTAAGTGAAGCCAGAGCAGTTGTGATGAAAGCTGCCATTAAAAAAACACCTATTTCTGGTCTGTTCCCTTGAGCTCTCTACTCTGGTGCAGACTGACCCCCACTTAGGGGTCTGAGAGTGTAAGAAGTGCCTTGTTACCTCCAGAGAAGGGTAGATGAGTCCCTGGAGTGGGACCTGAAATGTTCAGGGAAACTGCTCAGTGCATTCCTGGTTGGCATTTCCATCTCTATCAGTGGAGGAAGGGCCTCCATTGATTCCATGTGTTCTAAGCGTGGAGTCTGATGTGCTGTGCTTGTTGGGATTTTTGAGGAGCACTGCTAGTGCTTGGCTTGAGGCAGAGGCAGGACGAGGAGAAGCAGCAGGACGAGGAGAAGCAGCAGGTCCTGCTCATCCACCCTCCCCAGCTGCCCGGACGGAGCCTCCGTGGGAGGAGGTGGCTGAAGGAGCTGATCCATGGGGAAGCGGCGCTGCCACGAAGGTGACTCAGGGTCCATCTCCCCGTGGCTGCCATCGGTGGTGGCCTCAAGTCACTGCTCATTACACGGTGTCTGAAATCACCACCTGAGGATGTGGGTTCTGGAGGGGTTTGTCCGGTCGTAGCTGTGGGCTGTAGCGGGGAGGGGTGATCCCACTGCTGCCCTGCTGCTGGCCAGACCTGTCTGCCCCCTCCCCTGCCACTCCTGCTCCAGCAGCAAAACTGGTTTGGAGGGGAAGGGACGGCTGGAAGGGTGCTGGAGGAAAGGCAGAGGGGTGTGTGGGGGCAGAAGAAGTGTGGTTGTGCTGTACTGGTGTTCCCTCCAGCAAACCCAGTACCCTGTGCATGGGGATGTTTATTGATGATTTTTGAAGGGCAGAGTGTGTACCTGGTGTGAGCCCAGTAGCTGTGACATTGGGTTTGTGTCTGCTCAGGGAAGTGATCAAGAGATCCTGGGTGGTGGATCTTTGCTTTGCACAGAGTTCTCAGCACTCTCTTTCTGTCTCACGTGCCTTTGGTGGACTCTGCTCCTCTGCTGCCTCCTGAGCCATTTGTGTCTTGCCACCACCATCGACTTCTTGCTGCTCCTCTGGGAATCCCCAGCTTGTGGGGAGGTTGTCTGCTGGGAACCTCACCTTTCTTCAGCCCTTCTGCTCCCCCCTCTGCCCTGGCAGGAGGTGAGCTCGGCTGGTTTAGCTCCGTGTTCTCCTGCACCATGAACTTCCCAGTTTTCTAGCAAAGCTCTGTTTCACAACATCTTCAAGGGACTGATGGTGTGGGTTTCCTTCTGCTCCTGAAGCAGGGAATGGACTGGAACAGAGTGAAACCCCTGGGAGATGTGGAGCCTGGGAAGGTCTAGGACAGCCTACCTCTGCTGGTGTATTTTGCTGGAACACTGGCACTGACCACAGGCTTCCCAAACTCCACCACTTCTCAGTGCCTGCTGCTCTGAGTGGGGCAGAAGGCTCTAAAGAGTGAGTGGAGGACAGGAGAAAGCTTAGGAAAGAGGGATTTAAGAAAGCAAGAGGATGAGCAACAGTGAGATCACCTGGGGCACCTTCAGGGTTAAATGGCAGGGTGAGGTGGGACACGAGAGAATGTCCCCTGGAGCTCTGGGGGAAGGTTGGAGACTGGTCCTGCAGTTGGGGACTTCTCATTTGGGTGTTCAGAGCAGACGTGGTGTCCCTGGTGGAGCAAGGTCTTCTCCCAACACCTTTAGTGCCCTGTGCCAGTTGGCAGCAGGTTGCATCGCCTGGTCCTGCCCCATATCAAAATCACAGCAGGTTCTTCCCTGTCAGGGCTGGGAGGGACGGTCCTGCCAGTAGCTGCCACCCCAGGGTGGGCTGCCCTTGAAGCCCCCCATGGTGTCCCCGTGTCACAGCTCCCATCTCCACCTGCGGTGGGGAGCGTTCCTTGGGCCATGAGCTGATGGTGTTCTCCACTGCCCATCCCTCCCTGGGGTTGCTGAGCCTGCTCTTATCCTTCCTCCTATCGGTTTTAATTAGAAAACTCTCCAGCCCACGGCTTGGTTTTGTGAGGGGTGCCAAAGACGTCACCCAGGAAAGCCAAAGAGGATGACCAGCAAACTTGGCTAATGAGTGGAGGACTAATGAACTTTTTAATTAGCAGGTGCAAGAAGATGGTGCAGCGAGACATGCACTTGTGACAGCAGGAGCCTGCAAAGAGGCATCAGCCGAGCTCCTGGTGTTGTCTCTGATGGAGCAGGAGCTGCTGGTGTGTCCTTGGGCCTGGCTGTGCCTCCTGCCACCGGGGAACCAGGAGGGCAGTGCCTCAGGGACAAGGCCTGGACCTCCTCTGAGGAGGACACTTGGCTGTGGAGCTGCCCAGCTCATGCCATGTCCTGCTGGGTTCTGCTCTGCCTTCTGCCTGTCCCAGCTGCTGGACTTGCAGTTCCAGTTGCTGGAGCAGAGCTGTGGCTGTATCCTCCCGTCAGGCCCAGGTCTCCTTCACTGGGCAGCATCCTCTGGTCCCCAGTGCCTGGAGCACAAGTTTGGGAATCCTGGCGGCTCAGATATTAAAATTTCCACTCTTTGTGGAAGGAGTGAGAATGAGCCTGCATTAAAAGCCATGTTTGCCTTTCTGGTGCCTGAAACAAAGCGCCTGAGGAGCTGGGCCCACCTGCCTCTGGGTGGTACACTAATTATTTGAGAAATTACTTAAAGCTGGGCACTGGTGCCCGGTGCCAGGCTGGTCCTGCGTCCGCCTGTCGCGTGTTTAAGGTGCTGGTCGGGAACCAGAGAGCCATTAATTACAGCCCCAGTGAGTCGGGCTATCTCTTCTGATAGAGATCTCCTGAGGGCTGCTTTAATGGCACTGTCAGATGTTTCTGCATTCCTACGTGGAGCAATTACTTATCCCATGTAATTTGCCCACCGATTGAGGGGTTCTTCCACAAGATGTGATACTCGTTCTCCTTCCACGGGGCTTGGTGTTCTCTTCCTGCTTTAGCTTGGCAGCTGCTGGCACCTCCTCTCAGGAGGGGACTCTTCTTCCAAAACACTTTTCTGTGACACCACAACCAGGGTGTTTGGGGCAGTTT